GTTTTATATTGTAGTTTTTCTTCATAATTACATTTAAATAAACATTTACAATAATTATTAAAAACGTATGCCTTACTTGGATATAAAGCCCCCTCAAGAGTAACTTTAAAAGAGAAAAATATTGTTTGTAAAGAAAATAATGTTCCTGAATATTATCTAGTTAGTTAACTATTAGAATTAAGATTGGAAAAAATTATATCTATTAATAATTGTATGATTCAGTTGTAAATAAGCAAAACAATAACACATGGTACTTACACTTTATATACACGTAAATTGTCAGACTGGTATCTCATCCTCTCTGGCCAAGCGGTAAGATGCTTGCCTTTTAAACTGGGGGCTCGAGTTCGTGTCCCATACATGGCGAATTTTGTTTTTGTTTTTCCTATATCTGTTGATATTTTAGGTAATCATTCTATTGATGTATAAATTATAATTGTTGCACAAAATTTTTTTATTTATTTTTCTTTCCAAAATCTCACCTGAGATCTCAGATGAGAATTTGGCATGAGATCTCAGGTCAGAAATCACGTGAGATATAAGATGAGATCTTAGGTGAGATTTGTCAGGAGGGATCCCACCTGGTACTGTCAGAGAATTTTTGACTATAAATGTAGGCCAAGAAATCAGCCCTGAAGGGTACGGCAGCCATAACGACTACCTTCTCAGGGGTCGTGTCCCTAACGACATTACCATATTATTCTGACTAACGATAAGTGGTTGGTTATCTGGGGAACGACCCAAAGACGAGATATTCTTTGATCAGCGGAGCGAAGTACCTTCCTTCATCACAGTCTCCGTACAGAGAGACCTCGAGGGTAAGAGTCTAGCTTATTATTAGCTAGATTAGATTATCTTGCTTATTATATTAATAGGTACCCACAGCTAGCTCTTCATTATCAGGAATAATAATAAGGAATAGCTGGAAGTTTCACCACTGGCCCTTTTTAGGGCCATTATAAGTATTTACGTTTCTTACTTGACCATCAATTTCATGGAATCTTTTAAGGGCCACCTAAGTTTAAACTACCTTGCCAACAAATACATTTTTACTACCATTTCTGGAAGTGAGTCGTCGACTACAAGACTACGTAAAGCCGGACACTATTAAACCAAGTCAGTCATTCACTGGCAGACGTCACGAGCAGAGTTGTTCGTCGCAAGGCTGAGAACCCCGGTGACCGACGACCCTATATTACCCTCTCGACTCTAAGCATTCAACCAGGAATCACCGATCCTTTCCAAGGTCCACGCTGGGCGAGCCTGACAGGTATGAAGGAGAAAAAAATTGAGCCAACGGGAGTCTCCAACGGGCAAGCATCACGAACCAATCTCTCCACCTTAGATCATCAAAACAACTGAGTCGGAAAAAAAAGGTGCTTTAGACACCAACGTCTTCGACGTTATATCGGGAGACGTTGGGAAAGAGCACTACAACTAGCCCCAAAGTTTCGGACTTGGTAATTTTTCTCTCGATCAGTCTGGGTCTTTAACAGCAGGCCAGAGAAGATCACCCTGATGTATCCAGGCAGTCACAATTGCTGTAAACTTTAGTTAAGCGAGAGTTTACTTAAGAAGCTGACCGGTCTTTTTTAGGGCAATCGGACGTCAAACTACCTTGCCTACAAATATATTAGAACTTAACAAAGTTGACAGAAAATAGCCTTTAGGGGTCACAAAAGTCTTAAACATGCCAAAAGTCGCAAGAGGGTGAATTGGAAGGAAAACTTCCTTCAAATGTATCGAATGAATACAATTTTAGGCGCCAAGAAACTGACGCAGAAAATTTATTGAGATTGGAACAGCAGCCTCAAAATTGACAAATCAAGAATCCTGTATGTGAGAGATCAGCTTTTCATTTTACCCTCACAGTAATCTCTTAAATCTTTAAAGGTCTAAGTTCAGGTTTTTAAATAAGATGAAAATATATTTGTATTTTTGTGGCAATAAAAAATGTAGAGATTAAGCTCCAGGACTTTGTTGCTCTGGTAATGAAGTTGTAAGATAAGAGAAAAAAAACTTTTTTCAATAAAGATTTTTTTGGAGTTTAAATTCTTAACAGCTTTAAAAAATAGCCCTTTTCGTAAATTATACGGGAGAAACTGCAAATC